ACTGTTCATGTCTTTATGCAAATAAAAGGCAAGACTTATACTTAAGCCTACCATTACAAAGAGTTTTAATAAGCAACTCCTTGCCATAATATCATAACATGGCAATGAAATTATTTGTCCCGTTTGATAATTGTACGGCTGTAGAGGCGAGAGCGGAAGTCACCCGGTGTTAAGCTAGTGAAAATACCGTCGTGATCGAGCAAAGAGATGAATTATAAAATAACACGTTCGATACAAGAACAAGATCATATCATAATTAAAGGTGAGATAGGAGGAACCGCCAGCAGGATTGATCTGTCAGGTAGAATAACTGGATATTTCATATCGTGGTTGAGGGTGGGGGGATGGTATATTACCCAATTTCTTACCTTCTAATCGTTGAATTGTTCTACGTCCTACCGCGTCGAAGACAATCCGACTGCGCGTGAGCATTTCGTGGTCGCTGATGAGAGAAGACTTCTTCGTGGCATGAGTTGACGCTTCGCATTGCGGTGACCTCTTGTCTGACGACAAACTGTGCAATATATGGTGGACTTTGAAATAAATTGTGTGCTATGCCAGTAATACTGTGACCACAGCAAGAGAGAGTGGATATTTGCCTACACATTCAAACATGTTCATCATCCTATTATATTTGCTTGGGCCTGTGAACCGTGTGACTTGTTATTTTTCAATCTTATGGTTGTGCTTTTCATATAGCCAAATGTAAGTAACTCGATAAATATTGTCACTATTACCATACCTGGAAGCAGTAATAAAATATTTAGTTGGTCGGAAATGTGAATTTAAAAAAGCTAGATTTTAAATGACGTACTTATGTCATAAAAAATATTGAAGTTTTTTATTACAATAGAGCGTGTTATATATATTAGTTGTAGCGTGAGATAAGGATCATTTTCATTCAGAAAATTAAATCATCGGGAAAACACGTTTAAAATGTAAAAAAAATTTAAACTATTAAAATCCTTTACTGGGGTCAATGGTTCTCTTCCCGTGCTGTGCCTTTAGGTAAAAGATTTTAATTCGTCGAATAAGTTGAAAGATTGTTGACTGGTGCAATCTATCTCATGCTCAGTTCCATTAAGGTCAACTAATTTTCGGATTTTGTGACCCCCAGGGACTCAGCCTAGCTACCCCGTTTTGCCTATGACCTGATAGCGCACCTAAAGTGAATTCAATGATACATGGTTCTCTTATTCATCATTTGCAGGTTATTCTCAGCCGCATGCATGTTCAGGCCATGAAAATACACCATATATCAATAAGGACATGTTTTTAGGATTCTTTTCGTGTTCTTAAATCTTTTTAATCTGTAAAATAAAAGAGCGGAACTGTTCAGGTGTAAAAACTAATCCACTGTGTACCACATGGCCAGTTTCCTTTCCACGGTGCAGCCTTTACACGCGATCGCCCAATCAAAAAATAAAGCATGGAAAATGATGTACTCTTCAGGGACATTCCCGCGTTATATAGTAGACGTTTGATTAAGCCCGAATGAATATTTCATATATATAGCCAGTCGTAATCTTTTTTCCATATTCTATCACCTGGCTTTTGGCTACATCTTGGTAGTTTTTACTCATTAACGGTAGCCGTTTACCTGGTAATAACACAAGAGGGGTAGGGTTACATTTCAACCGGTCTATAGAAAGAGAAAAACGGATGAGGCATGTAATCTGCAAAGACAGGAAATATCGACGAAACGACTTTATCGGCTGAAGTTGATCCAATAAAAGCTTGAGAAAGAAAGAGACAAGATCGTGACATAAGAGGACACCTGATATTGCTTGATTGGTGGAAACGGTGCTTTCCGTCAGAGAGGCTACATTGCCCACCCGCAGAGGCAGCAATTACCGGAACGACCTGCTGCTAATTACACACTGAATAGTACCTGAACATACTGGATATAGTTCTTGCACAGTTCTCCAGCTAGATTACACTGGTCCAGGCAAGGAGAATTCTTACTATTCTTCATTATGCGGTTTTCTGGGAACCCAAAAAGGTCGGAATATATATAAGTAGACTTACAGTGTTAAAGATAGAAATCGCAGCTAATATTTACTGGAACTTGTTTGTGTACGTACTGGGTTCATTGCTCTGCGGCTATAGAAACTGGGTTTTGGTACCAAGTTTGGTATTAAGTTGAAGCCACCACCAGCGGTTATGTTGGACAGATAACGATAAATTGGACGATGCTCTTAAAATAGTCGAAAGAAACATTGGGATTGTATTTTGTCACCGCGTGTGAATTCGTGTTTGTAACACATTTTGTAATTAGTTACTTATATGGAATGCATTTCCTGTTTCATGGACAATTGCAACGCCAAAGAAGAAAACAGGCATCGGAGTAATATTTTGGGGAAGGCAAATTACTTATAAAGTCAACCGCTGGTCTGTTTTTGGCAACTTTTAAGGTCGTGCTATCATCTTTACAATATATTCTTCGCTTAACACAAGACCGAGTTAAAATTCTTGGTGCCACCAATTCACAGCTGATCCGTGGTCACGTCGAGCACAGAAAAGATTTGGACTAATACACTTTGAAATTCCTCTCTGATGGCGTTTACTGGAGCTTCGTGCGTTTTATGATCTAGATTAGAACTTGTGTCTCCAGGACATTATCTTCTAAGACTACAACAGGCGTGAATATCACACACAGATGAGGATTTATGAGCTCCTCGTGAGTTAAGTTGATTAGAAAATGCCACAATAATTTTGAAAAAACGTCATCCGTGGATCAAGAGACGCAGAAAAGCTAACATGGCGTCAACAAGCAAACCAACAGAGGCGAGCCAGGATCACAACGGGCACACGGGGCTTATTCCTAAAGAATATCTATGGATTCCATACGTAGCCGTTGCCTTGATATTCATCATCTTCTTGATAGTCTCATTTGCGTTATATCACAAAAATAGAAAGCACAAAGTAGGACAATCCGACCTCGTAGACACCGAATACCGAAAAGAAATCGTGAAAACACAGCGTGAACGACAGAAGCGGGGTCGGGTAGCTTCAATGGCCGGACCCAGCCAAACTCCTAGACCCAAACGGGCAATTAATACCTTTGCCGCCCTTGGCCGTAGTGCTAATAAGTGAATAATTGCATTACATACACATGACTGATCTGACATCAAATATAAACTGTAATGTTTGATGAAAGAATTCTAATGTACAGCCTCAAATTTTACCAACTTTATCATTTGAGAAGATGTTGTTTTTGGTCAAGAATTCTTAGTGTGGCAGATGGGTTTCTGAAAGTGTTAGCAACGCCCCGGTATATAGACCCTACATACGTGGCAATTAAAGGTAAAATGTTTCATGTATCAATAATTTCTGCTCACAGCTATAATATTGCATATATGTTAACACTTTCATTCTTAAACTTATCAATATGCCATATAACTCACTACTTTCTCTATTTATCAATTTGCGGTTGTTGATATGACGATGCAACGATTTCTTCCAGTACAAGACTTTTATTACCCAAGAGACAATGACGATTGTAGTGTATGCCAAGACGCTTATATATTGACCTATGATTATTCATTATACATATGTATAATTCATTCGGTTATGTGCGTGTTACACCCATCGCATATAACGCTTCACACTATGTTCAAATTCAGCCCACTTGTCCATTTCATGTCATGAATATTGAATTCTTATGCCAATTCTTTATGACTTATTTTTGGACTTTCTATTGGCACTAATACAAAACTTTAAATGCGGAATGTAATAGATATAATAATCACGGTTGCCAAGTTATTGCGATCGTTCTGAGGACCAAAATACTCGGAAGGGCAGACCTCGGTATCTATTCTAAGCCAAGCAAACCCCATTGCCGTTTATTCCTGTTGAACTAACAAGAAACTCCCGCCAATAAGCTCACCTTGGCACAGGCAACCATAACTTGTTGTTCATCATTTTGTTCTCACAATAGAAACTAATTTTGTGTTTGTTCATGTAATGTTTTTGTTTTGCCAGCAAACGTGCGTGAGTCAATCCGAACCATGCTTTTCTTGATTAAATAAATTAAAAACAATGAGCTCATATGAGATTACTAAACCTATTCGTGGGATAATACGCTCAAGAGTAAAAGAGTGACCAGAATTACGCCAAAGAAAAACATTTGTGTTTCTAATTGAAGGCATTATCCGTTCAGGGATGGTTTTCTTTCTTGCGAAGAACAAGAGGGAAGAATGCACCCCGAGTTGTAGAACGCTGCACGGTGCCGGTTTAAACATTTATTTGAAAAGTTACTGCGGCAAGACTACAGCCAGCTCTTTGACACTGAGGGTGACAAAAGTGGGAAGGTTTTCGGGAACAGGAGAGAAGAAAAGTAACAACTTCCGCGGTTTTTAATAACTTGTTAAGTAAACAAGTTAAGCTAAAAGAAAAACCACAGGATTGGTATATGGATATGATGGCATGTCGCAGACAGACAGACGAATACTTGACTGTCTAATTATAACGTTATGACAATTTTTTGAACAAATTTACAATGAACCATAGAGAAACATTTTACAACACAATATTTTACAGAATATTTCCTTTGACGACTGAAAATTTGGCTTGTCGATATCAATTTTTTTGTCTCTACGCTTTGGAAAACGGAAATTGCTGTAAAACCCTGTATTATATAAATTTATATTAAAGTTCTCTGCGTGAGCTGTTCATTTTGTTGACTGTTTTACGCCTTTTGGAAAGAATTGGTAATATGACTCTGGTAGAAAGAATATCAATTCTAGTTCAATTAATGACCGATATTAAACGTGATTATAGTCAGGAAAAGAAGCATGGATTCCTTCACTTTTAGTCCAGAATAATAGTCAAAGTTAAACTGACACAAAAAATAACAGGGGCCACAGGTTCTGTAGCACTCACCAGCAGAAAGTTTTCCTGTTGAACCATATTTTAAGTTTAACTAGTTTATGTTACGCATGTGTTGGAAACACAAAGTGGCCAAGCATAAACCATAATACAGCCAACAAAACTCAGGAACACTCGTTTTTTTTAGGGGGAGGGAAATATAGCAAAAATCTACACTTAGTCACAGACAAACAAACCACACGTCATTCCAATTACGTGATCAGATGGTGTTTAAATTTAAGAAGTTGAAATCGTGACACGGGGTCCGTGAAGATCTTTTTTAGGATTATCGTAGTCATTCTCTTCTGGAGCAAGGGTTTTCCATTCGGGCGTCCTTTGCTCCGGGCCAGCAGGCTTTAATTAGGATCAGGGACGCTGGTACGTGAGGCCGGGGATAAAGTGCACCTCGCAGCCAGCCAGCAGTATTTGCTTGCCGCCGCGTACAACACCATGCAGTTGGCTGCTGGTATGCAATGGCTTCTAACGTCTGCTGTGGTTCTGAATTCAATCTCAGGAGGTAAGTCTAAAATAGTTGATGTACATGCTGATATTACTTGCATTCCAATGTTTTCAGTTTCAGTGACGGCGATGCGATTAAGTTATTATGTAAGTGTATACCTTTGCGGTTTCACGTTTCCAGTTTGCTCATGCCAATGTTTTTACCTGTTCTCTGTCGTCAAAGATACCCATATAAACTTGTACTTTGAAACTTTGGACAGAATGTTTTCATATTATATGAAGTACTTACAGAAATAACATAATCGCACGTTCGTCACTTTGTATAAAGTGTGCCATGAAGTACACGAAGTAGACTATATATACAATGTACTGACTCAGAGAGTGAAGTTGTTTGCATGCAGCCAGTGTGTGTGTGTTTTTCAGATACATTTTTTGGATGCCGTCCCTTTTTCCATAGAACTTTATTGCCTTTTAACGGCCTTTTTGTGAAATGGCTCCATAAATTTCACATTTCACCCAAACGTTTATGACCTTTTCATTAAAATCCTATAATAACATCTCAGCGTATGGCCGTAGACCATTATTCTTTTGATTAATCTCAAATGTGCCTCATGGGAAATCTGTGAAACACTTTGCTACAAGGTAGCCGGACAACCAGCGATTCCAACTCGTTATGCTCGATTACATAGTCCAATGCTAATACATATAGCCATCTCGACATTCTACAACCACACTGCACCTGGCGTGCAGCATCTGGAAACCCACGTGTTTAAAAACTAAACGAAAAGGGAATTCCTTCGGGTGAACTTGCTCTAGGATTCAAATGTATAAGAAAAGCGTTGAGCCTTGGAAAAACACCTCTCTCCAGAACCATAACACAGAATGTTAATCAATATCGAATGGAATCGCTACATTACTTGTAACAACACAGTATGTCGCGTGCCCGAATGGTTATAAGACGCCGTGTCCCAAGTGTTAATGGTTACCAGTAGCCTAAAACAGATGGCAATACTGCGGAGACGCCCATTTCCGCAATATTCTATAGTTTCATCTATATGACCAGCTGGGGGATTGGTTTACGTTTTTGCCATCATTACATCTTGTTCTAAACGTTGGTAAAATATGAAGCTTAAAGGGATAACAGCTGTTCATTTTGGCCAAAAAATGAATTTTTCTGGGGTAAACAGCAATTTCCCCATACTTACCAATGATTACACTGTAATTAATCTATTTCTACATTCAAAGTTAGTCCCTGTTTTTTTTTTTCTAAAAGGTTTTTTCTAATCTCTTAAGAGATTTTTACAGAGTATAGTCATCTATGGAGGTCATGTGGTCGAATGGCAAGTACAGATTTCAGATTTACTGCCATAACTGCCGTTTTTGTGGTAAAATAGAATATATTATAGTTCTTTGAGTTGTTTACAATGTATTTATTGTGAGATATAGATATCATATGAAGAGTTATTATCCCTTTAAGTTTTTCAAAGGTTCTCATACCAAATCTGGTAAAAGTGTCTTTCGATAAAACACCTTATCAAACCTAATAACAGTGTCCAATACATGAGTTATAGTCTCCTCATACATCTGTTGACATTTTACAGCTGTGGCTGACTAGTACAATGGTTAAAGGCGAGCTTTTGCCCTGTGTAGTTAAAGGAACTGAACTTTAAAAAATAACTTGACCCAGATAAACTTTGGCAAATGACTGTTTTAAATCCAGTTATGTTTTCGTTTACTTTTCCATTTTTTAGACTCTATGACTTAACAGAACTTGACAGATAGCGTCTTTATCAATTTATGTATGTACATTGTGTACCACTGGCGTCTCATGACACGTTTTTGTTTTAAAATCACCTGTTGTTAGTTGCATTGACGTGCGTCCCGGAGCTGATCCACCTGAAGTCCAGTCAGATGGACAAATGGAACTATTGGTACAAAATCAACTTCAAGACAGAGGTGAAGACAGTCACCATAGAGGACCCGGACGCCTTTGGTCTGGATGATATAAAGGAAAAAGAATTCAGACTGAATGGTAAGAGAGTGAAGGTGAATTTGATTTTTTTTTTGCAAACAAGTAGGAAATAACATAAAAACACTTGTTCACACTTCATACTGGTAGTGCAATTCCACTTAACGTACAGAGTGAATACAAAAACTTATGAGGTCGCTAGAACTGTATTATGTTTGAAGATCACGTGGTTGTTTTGTGGTGACGAGTGTAAAAATCGCACGTGCTCAGTTGACAACGCCAGATCTCCACTTTCAAATAAAATAAACCGTCGTTAAATCAATCGAATGAACAAATACATGTGTGACTTTGTTTACCAAAAAAAAAAAAAAAAAAAAGGCGAAACAAAAACAGCTGTGAGAGCGTACGAAACAACAAATATTGCTGAAAATATATTCCATCACTCACATTACTAAGAGTGACAAGTCGAACGATAATGATTTCGGCTTTATATTCTTAGAAGAATTATAGTTTTGAAAAACTAGTTTGGCTCAAATTGCATTATTTCATTAGCCGTGTAATAAGCTTCAGAAAGGTTTGCACAATTTCTTCAACCAAAAGGTTTTGTCTGACCTTTTGTGCAACCAATAACTCGTATAATCATGGAATAGGCAAGTATCAACAGAAATGGTGAGCGAACCCAATTTTCCATTTCCATTCTCTACTTCTATGGCGTTTTACTGCACATGCACACACAACGCAGAAATTGACTAAATCATCATCAAATAAAGTTGGATAGAATCTCCAACATATTTATTTCTTGATTTAATGGACTGATTTTGGAAGTTAAAAAACATTGACAAACTTATTTTTCAAATTCAAAAGCCATGATTGTAAACTATGTTTAAAAAGCAGAATCTACTGTGATCGTGAAGAAGTTGTGGTGCGTTCTTCGCGTCAATTCGGGCCTGTGCATGTTAGAAAACTATATAAAAGAATGTATAACAATAATCTTCAAACATAATAAACAAAAAACATAAACATGTTTGATTATGAGAACATGATGTTATAGGACAGAAAACGTGAACACCATAAATTATCGATTCTCTCAGATGTAAAGCCAACTAGAACACTTTGCTTGACAAATTATGGTAATGAGACAAAACTTGGCACAGTCATTTCATAGGCCAGTCAAAATAATTCAATATTAAGATTAAAATTTTATATTTGTGGACGAAAAGAAGAGATCATTATTGTATAACAAAATTTCCCTTTTTATGAAAGATCTTGTAAAATTGTTTAGTTGAACTTGCGTATACACAATAAACCAAACATTTAGCAAAATATCATGTATTTTCACGTCCACATGTGTTAGCGTGGTTATGTGTTCGACATATCGATGGAAACTTAAAAATTTTACAAAATCTTTTCCAATTTCCATCTCAGGCAACATCCATGTTCTGCGGTACGCTGGCGCCGCCATATACCTGACGCAGACGAACCTTCTCACCCATGCGGAAGACATTTTAAACAACCAGTACCTGCAGGCGGATCTGTACAAGACGCACAGCATACACGGGATCGTTTCTCAAGGTAATTATTCTTTTTATCTTAATCTCGTTATCTCTCTTGGGATTAGGGTTTCTGAGAAATAGTCATGGCTGGTGTTGATTTCTTTGGCGCCTTTGTTTTTCTATTATTGAATTAAACCTTATTCCTTTTGTATCCGATTCAAGCCTAGGTCCTATAGCAACAACTGAGACTGGGGATTGATGCCACGATCCTGTTACCTTCGCGTGTAAAAATTTAACCTGTTGTAATTTGATCACCGTGGGTCTGTACCAACAAGGACATTATTAAATTCAACTCATTGTGTGAATGTTCTGGCGCACGAGTTTCCCCGTGGGGCAGCAATTACCAAACATGTTTGTAAACATAGTTTTACCTGTAATTCCCCCCACCATCAGTCATAATCGATGCTAGCCTTTATCTTCTCCGCATTGCTTTAAAAGGGAGAAATAATTATATTTTAGGTGGATATCATGAAGAATTAGAACACGACTACTACCCTTACAAGGAATCATGGGTGACAAAGTTTGCCGTGTCTTATTCAGATGACGGAAAGAACTTCCGGTATCTCACAATTGGGGACAATGTCACTGATCCTAACCATATCCTGGTGAGTTAAAATTGTCTACTTGACTGTATAATTATACAGATCGTGGAATGAGTTTGTCAGCTTGTGGGAAACAGATGACACGGACTGAAAAAAAAGCTGTTCCGAAACGCGTGGTAATTAAAGTTGACATGGCTTTAAACAGGAAGTCTGAAAAAGATTCAAGCAGGATCTTAGCCAAGTTTTCTTTAATGTCAGTATTTTTCCTTATTCATCATATTTAAGTAAGTCAGGTTTTAGATTAACATCTACATCGACGTACTGTTAATGGCAGTCAAATATAACTACCCTTTTTTTAGGTTTTCCTGGGAAATACAGATGGCAAACAAAAGCGTCGCGTGATGTTCCCATCTCCTATCTCTGCCCGCTATGTGCGGTATCACCCCATTCAAGGCAGGGACTCTCAAAAATCGTCCATTTATATACAGATGAGGATGGGGCTCGTCGGTTGCATTGACGGTACGGCCACCTAGCGACTATTCTTTTATAATTAGAATAAAGTCATGGTTGTCAATTTCTACATAAAAGTTAGCTGTTAACTACTTATTTTTCGAGATAAAATGGCCATTGATTTGCCGCTGCTTGCTGAAACCTTGAAACAAACCTTGAAACAGACGATGCATTTCCTTGTCCTAAGATTAAATTTAACGAAAATTCTGTCCGCTCTACTCTTATTTCTTAACGGACTTTACAGTCTTACAAGCTTAACCTCAGATCAACAGATCATAGGCCTGGGGGAAGATTTCTATACCATTTACTTGNACCACACTCTCTCCTCAGGAGGGTCGTCCTATGCTAGGTCACCTTTTTTCACTGGAAATGGGCATTTATTGATGCGAAAAGGTTGTAATCCGTAGGCAGACGATGGCGTGTTCTAATATGCATGGGCAGGGTTTCTCATTACCAAAATAGGAGTAAATCGTAGATCGCATGCCTTTCAACACGTAAAGTTTTTTTTTCTCGGTACCTTCTGCATTTGTCTGTAATATTTGTTTCTTGTTACATGATCAGTAGAGGATTGGTTTTTCTAAAACACATCATGACTAAGAAATTTTAACGTTTCTCAACATATTCCAATTTCAGTCGATTGTCATCACACTGCACCGAGTTCACGTGCCCGCCTCAAATCTCTGCCATAACGGCAGCATCACTGTATACGGGGGCGACTCGGAGACGTCCCAGACCGCTCCGTTATTGTGCAAGGTTTGTGGCTTTCACAGTGGCCCGCAATCTTTCAACAGCCATGCGTCAGAAGTCACTGTCATATTCAAGTCTTATAACAGCAATGATTTCTTCACAGGGGAGTTCTTCCCGTCTTCCCCTGTCAATGGTGGGTGTGGAAGGAACTACGGGGGTTATAACTATTACAGGAGGAGAAAGAAACGGATCATAGGGGGCAGCACGTCTGCTCCTGGGCGCTGGCCATGGAATGTAAGAATACCACGTTTATCAAACTATGATGCTGTAGTAAATAACCAGTTCTGGGTGTCTTTAAATGTCATAAAAATATCTCTCCCAACAATTGACAATTAAATAAAAAATAGAATAACTTTTGGACATCTAACCGTAAATAGACGGAATATCGGAGGGTTTGATACTTCACATTTTCCAAATATATCAAGCGTGTTTCTTTTAATAGTCTCTCTCTCTCTCTCTCTCTCTCTCTCATAACCTTGTTATATTTTCCTCAAGGTCAAAGTGCTCAAGTCTACGTTATCTCACAACCACGGCTTCTGGTGCGGAGGTACACTGATTCATCCTCGTTGGGTTTTGACTGCCGCACATTGTTTGGAGGGGTAAAAATCTTAAAAATTAAATTATTATTTTTTTGTCATCTTACTAGGAAAGCTGCACTGTCCTCATTTCTAGATTAAAAATAGAATGTGAAAGATCGGGAAATGCATTTTACTCGTTCAAAACAAATAATAAGGTAAATGACTTATGTGTCGATGTTAAGTATTAGTATGTATTTAGTCTCTTTTTTCTTTAATTCAGAGTACCCACAGCAGATTACGAAATTGTTGCACTGGACAATCAGCGCCGTCGAGCTGTCAAGACTTTTATCCATGACCAGTTTTTTGAAAGAAATAATCCTTTTAAGGTATATAATATTCATACTGTACAAGCGTATTAAAGTAGAACATGATATAGACCTATATTTATGAGAGCATTCTTAAATCCAGCACGAACATTTTAATACATGGAAAAACAACAACAACAACAACAAAAAAATGTTTTGGAATCGCTTTTCTTTCTCAAAATGATCCAGGTTAAGCTTTAGAGGAGGTAAAATCTACGGTTGACGTCCCGGACTCTTACACTGACTTTATTTTGTAGTAATATGATAATTCCGTCATAATTTTGTTTAGCCAATGGCTCCCTAAACATTATTGTTTATAATCATTTAGCTTCTAAACGATGTTGGCCTCATCTACCTTGAGCGAGACTTCCAGCTGGGATATGGTGCTAACACAGTCTGCCCCCCAGATGGCGGAAGAAGAGACTGGGAGTCAAGCACCTGTTATTTCACTGGCTGGGGAAGGATACAGCCCACAGGTGAGTCAGTTCCCTGGTTTTTAGTTCGGTTGGTGAGACGTTGGGCTTTCGAAAAATATTTTATCAAAAGAACACCTATGTAACCTTCATTGGATTTTTACACACTTGTAGGCTATCACCCAGAAATGATGCAGCAGATCCGGCCTTCTGTCGTTCCCATGAATATATGTCGATACTACTGGGGCTACCGCTGGATGAAACAAGAAGCCATGATCTGTACGGCGGGACACCCTTACCTACTGCAGGGCTCTAACTGCATGGTTAGTGAGAGAAATTAGTTAAATGATCATTGTTTAGAAATTTTGTAGGCAAGAGGGCCAAATCCGTTTGCTTGTCTTAAGTTATTTCTATGATAGCATAGCACCAGCGCATCTACCACATCGTAATGAAAGGTACCCAGTATAAATAAGATAGACTTCAATGCATATCAGGAGTGGGGGAAGGGGGGAGCTCTTAAATTTGTGATAGACAGCACGACCAATGATTTCTTCAAGACTTCAGTTTTGTTTTATTTTTATATTTATCAGGGAGACAGTGGCAGCCCCCTGTTTTGCAAGCGTAGAGACGGTAGCTACACAGTAGAAGGTATATTTAGCTGGTTGTATAGGGAATGCGGTACAATGGCCAAACCAGACGTGTTTTCACGAGCCTCGGCACACTGGCCTTGGGTACAAGAAATCATGCATACGTACTCTCCGGGATATTAGCGCGAGTGATATTCCTATCACAAGAGCAGTTGTGATCTTAATCCGCTCTGGTTTCATCAGTTGCAGCAAGACAGAATGGACTTGTTGTAAAGACCTTGCTAAGCAGTTTATTGCATTGGATGCTGGCGTGCTGTAACTGCTGTTCTTGGAGGCAATAGATTACCTGCCTGAAGATCTAGGGAACAGTATACCAAGGAGGTTGAGACGATTTCAGGAACTTTAAAGTACGCTTCATGTCCCTGTACCTCTCTTATTCAATCTAAGGAATTTTATAAAATATTGCAGTTCAGATACTTCTGCTTGATACAAAATACATTAAGATTCCTATAGTTTACGTTCCCAGTTTGTGGGATCAAACTTATCCACATTTATTTACCTGCAGGTGTGATACGTTTACAAATATATTTATGAAATATAATAATAAAGACAAGATTTGTACTACCAGCACGCTTTATTTCCGAGATGGCAAACTAAAATATACAATCTACACAGCCATAGGTGTCGTTGAGAATAAAATGCAACTAAACAATAATTTCCAAATAATAACTACTCTATTTACGATATAATCCGCACTTTGTACGCAAGTCAATAGGGGGCGCTTTATGCTGACATTTACACAAGATGGAATGACACTCGCAACCAGCTGCATACCGATGACGTCACACTCCTGTAAAATGGCGTCACACTGCCTGCACTGTTTGTTTTTTGAAGCAGGAGCTAAAATGCAGGCAGTTTGTATACACGTGATATCGTCTCCCTATTAACTTAAGTACAGTAGATGCGGGCAAGATTACTTTGGTGAGGTGGTTAACTATACAATTTTTATACAATTTCCGAATGCAATGATTTTTTGTAATTATACTGTAACATGATAATTTGATTATTGTGAATAATTCTAACAACATGATTACATCATATATCACCAGTATGGCCGTGCACTTGTTAAAAAACCTCACAAAGTAATCCTGCAATTCTTAAAAACAAATATTTAAAAGACATAATAATGCTGTACAATGTGATAAAGATAATGATCTTTTTTAAGTAGCAATAATAAAAGAAATCCATTACTGTAAATTGCTCTGATAAAAATGTGCTCTTTCTATATGTATATATATATAAACTACCATCATGGGCTGTCACAGATCATTTATGTATATTCTCTACAAAACTAAGTTTCTCTTTTATAAAATTGTTTTCTGCAATATTGAAATGCTTATGTCAGAAGATGGACAGAGACTGCTCCAAACCCGGATCTCAAACAGTTTGAATCCACAGTATCCTTCAGAAAAAATGGGTCCACAATAATAAAATGTTTCAGCCCTAGTCCAATCTCTGTAACAAGCCGACGCTGAATCTACTTAAAAATAGTCTCTAGATTTTTCGAGATCCATTGAACGCCACATATTGGCCACCATTTTGAGAGCTAAATCCTTTCAGTTGTTCTGTTCAGCTAGACAGTTTACAGCTAAGGTCAATTGCTAGCCAAGTCGATATCACCAACATCTCAGACAGTTCTCATTTCTAGCTAGAGGCAAACTGTTCTTTGCACAGTCCTGGTTAGAATAAAAACTGCATATATTCCCATTAAAATTGGTCTTTTTAAAGACTTGCTCTTGTTTTTTATCCACAGGCTGCTGTTCTTTTAACCCATATTAGTGCACATAATCAACAATTTTGATGATTTTGCTTCCTTTCGTCTGCTGCACTGCACTGTTCCTGATATAAACTGTTAAGAGGATTACACTACTCAATCTGCTCCATCTGTGTCTATATTGTCTTTATGTACATCTACTCCAACCTCCAGCTCACAGATCTGTATCAAACCAAGCTGCCGCAGCCATCTGGTTGGGGTCCCCTGGGGTGATGGAGTCGAGGTTCTCAAAGTTGAGCTCGGCAGAGGGGGTGCCTAGGTCGGGGAGTTGGTCCATGGGGCCATAGTTACTGCCTTGATGACTGCCGACATCCAAACCCTGCATAGCATCCACTGGCATGTGTGGGTCAAAACCTAGGAGGAAAGGGGAGGAATGAAATTAGATGCAAGGTTATCTATTTTTATATATACATATTTTTTCAATGAGAAACAAATGCCATAACATTATGTACAAACAGACACCTCAAAATGTTTCTCCACCTTTTTCTACACTACTGGCATCACTTTCATGAAGTTTAATCAACACACATCTTTCAACATTTTAAACAAAGCATACCTTTCAAGATAACACTATGAAGAAACTAAAACCATTATCAAATTTCCAAATTGTCATGGTAAACCTCAAATACAGTGGATATGTACAAAGTTCCATGCAAGACAATCTTCCACCCCCATCTCACCCCATCCATCAGTACAAGCTGGGGTGGCACTAGCAATTTTTTTCATTTACCCAAATCACCACTTTTTTTATTATTTTTTTTTCTGCAAATAGTTTAAATTTGACTAATACAAGTCAAATCAACCCTTTTTTGTTTAGCCAAAGTCAGTTATAAGATTTGGCTAAATTGGCAAGCGTCAGCACTACCCCAGGCAAAGTAAACTTCTAAGCCTAATCGCCAAGTCTAAGTCCTATCTCCTCACCAGATCTGCTCATGTCATGATGACTTCCACTGTGGATGCTGCCCTGACTGCCATGGTGGGCCGGTGGGTACCCCATGGAATCCCTGTACTGGGGCTCGTCCACGCCCAGCATGCCGACGTCCTCAAACCCTGGGCCTCCAGGTCCCTGCAAGATGGAGTGCAACTGAATAAGAAGATGTGGGAGTTGAATTTTTGTGCAGATATAACTGGGATTGTCACCTTACTTGATAATTTTTCAACAATGTACTAAAATGGATTTGGTGTAAATAATTGGTTAACATTTGACCATAGCAATCAATAATCATGGTAAAATGACCTCATACACTGCAGTAAACCATGTGTTAGTTATTGTGCCCCACTGCCACTCACCTCATTCCAAGCCATTGGGTCACCTCTGAACAGTGAGCTGGTCAGTTCTACAGACAAACGTTTCTTGTAGTCCTGTGGTTTATCTTCAGACATACGGAACAACACTGCAGCAGCATAGGTGGCTGGAGGAGAAAATACATGCCGATTATACTATACAACAGGAAGGTCATTCAATGTGGCAACTTGGTTAAAAGAAATTCTTCAGGTCACCAACAACAATGCAGACAAAGAAATTAAAATGCAAGTACAGTAACTAAAAAACAAAACAAAAAATGAAATATAAGTTCATTCCTCATACCCCCATTCTCTAAGATATCTTACCATTATACTTAATAATAAAGTCAGTAAATGCAGTTAAAGAATGTTTTGGAATCATCAAAATAACGTTGCACTTAAAAACTTGAAGACCAACTTACCAACACCCTCATTCCTTGAGTGCAGTAACTCAGTCAATGGAGCAGTGGCGCCCTCTTGTTCGATCATTTCTGCGCCTTCTTTGTCGGCTGCCAGTTCACACAACACGCCTGCAGCTACACGCTGAATGTTCTCAATTGGAGAGTACAGCAACTGGAAGTAAAGGGTTCAAAGTAAGTCAGATAAATCCTTTATTAACAGTTTCCAAATATTGCTCATCTTTTTTTTTTTTTTTCAAATTTCAAAAAACTACTTTAAAGCTCCAAATGTGAAAACTAATCTTCCATAGTTGAACCGACAAAGCTCACTTACATCAAGTATGGGACTTTACATGACAAACTCATTAATATACATATATTCCCCCTTCCTTAACTATGAATGTACACGGAGGCTATGAAAACCTACCTGTACAAAGAGTGGTATACAGTTCAGTCCCCTGATGATGGCCCTGTTGTGGGCCTCCCTGGCCAGGATGTGGAGAGCCCCTACAGTACCTTCCACAATCTCTTCCATACGCACGCCATCCACATAACTGCTGCCAGTCTGACTGCCATTAGATGCTACAGAGGCTCTTTGCTGGAATATACAGAAATACAGGCTTTATATAACAGAACTCAATATAACTTACAACATAAGCGACTCCTTTTTTGAATACTCGCTTAAGTTAATACCTTAATTAAACATACTGGCTCATAGCTCATATCCTTTATTTGAAAATGTTTATTTTATCCCAATATAGCATTTTGCAAGAACATGACCCATTTTTTTAAACCACAACAGAACAAATCTACAATCACCCATCTTGTTCATGATTACAAGTATTTCCATATTAGAAATGGTAGGACCAGCTTTGTAAAGTGTTCCTTACCCTCTGTGTATCTTGGTGTGCTCTAATCAGCAGCTGTACAATCCTGGGCAGGGCACCGTGTTCTCTCAGTGGGGCATGGTTAGCTGGGCACAGGGCAAGGTTCCTGATTAGACCGACAACAGCCTTGATCAGGGGCCAGCGGCTTGGTGGGTGCAGAAGCTTCACAAGGATGGGTAGGCCGTAGTGGAGGCGCACTGCATTCTGGGCCATCTCAGCTTCGGGATGACGGCTGGTCAAGTGACGCAAGGCACACACCTGAAGGGTACAATATAACAGTGTTATGGTACTGTTATGGGTTTCCATATTTTTTTCTATGCACACTCATTTATATTTGGAACATTGCAAATTTAACCAAAATATTGTATACATCCAAAATTGGCTCAATAAAGGGTAAAATGCTGCTGGTCGTTTTTCCTCTCTCTTTTTTTGCTTAACATCAATTCTGCTCACAATATTTGAATACAATCATCAACATATTTAAATTCTAGTTTAGATAAGTTATATCTTAGAGGCAACTCAGAGCACATAAATCTCTTTGAGAGACCACAAAAATTGATGATATTTTAGATTTTGATGGCAGTTAACTTACAGCAGGTTCTGTAATCTCCTCTCTGTCTCCAGCTTGCATGATGGTGCGGACCAAAGCCTCAATTCCTCCAACTTGACACACTGTGATCTTGTTCCTCTGGTTGTTGCAGGTCAAGTTGGACAAGATACCCGCAGCACATGTGACCACATTGATGTCGTTGGAACTGAGAAGTTGTGTCAGCAACTGAAGGAGATTTTCCAGAGTGTCGGTCTTGGTGGCAGCATCAGAGAGGTTTCTGAGCGTCCACAGACAGTTCTGGACCAACCTCTGGCTCTGGTGTCCTAGGTGCATGGCCAGGGCTTGAAGGCCACCTGGAAACAAAAAGAAATTGTTCTCTCAAAGGTCCTAAAATTTTAACACATTAAGTTTCAATTTTAAACAACTTTATTTGAGTTATCAACTGGGTTTTCTTAATTACATCAACATAAATCACCAGCAAAACTCTACCGTAAAATAATTAACTTGAAAACTATGCAGTTTAAATTTTGACAACCAAATTTGAAGCTAGAACACAATACTCTTCCATGTTATTTAAAGGCAACAAAAATTTCACCACAAAATGTAATAAGATGTTATATAACATATTCCATCTTAACTTTTTTACTTTCAAAATTCCCAATGTTTAAAACATTACCTGATTCTACAATAGCAGGCTTATTGCTAGGACACACAGACAAAACTTTCAGCACTCTGGAGGTCGTCCACAGAAGCTTCTCATAGGTGTACGAACGCATGATGCGGACAAGTTCTGCTGGG